GGTCCTGGCTGCATTATTTATGGAAGGACCTTTTGTGAATCAGAGATGCAATCGTACTTTGCATCTGTCATGCATAAAACCTTGACTTTGTTTTGTTTCAATGGAAAAATTGACTCAAATTGAAATTTAAAGAGAAGGCATCCAGAACCTTTGGATTAAATCTATCAGCCGAGATAGCAGTGGGTTGTTTAGCATTTGATAGTAAATTCTGATTTCTGTTGACCTCGATGACAGGTTTATGTCTGGCATATATCTAACTTCCTGAAATGTTTTAAAGGATATGGGCATTTTGATAAAAAATATTCCCACAAAATTTTCTAGGTATCATTTTAAAAGATTTTAAAATTAATTTAAAAAGACACCATAGCAGAAAGCAGTTATTATAGGGAAGGTCTCAAAGGAAATATAAAAATGTATGTGCAATTTGGATTTAGAACTTCAAAGCTAGAATAGTTCTTATAAAAGGAAAAGTTTTCTCAGGATTAATTTTGCTTTTTAAATCTTTGAGATGAGGTAGGATATTTGTAATGTAAAATTGTTAGGGAAACACTTATATCAAGGTAGGAGAATCTAAATTATAAAAAACATGCTCACATATAGGTTTTGTATGTGGAAAAGATTTAAACAATTCATGCACACATATACAAAATAAAGTAAAATTGTCTTTACATTCATTTTATGGAGATAAAAATTTCCATGTTGGGATTTGCATCACTTAAAACTTCTTTTCCATACACATATAAATTTATAAGTAAATACCAGTACACACAACTACATCTAAGTAACAATGTGACCAAGGTGAATCTACTCTGTGGTATATCTTTTTTGTTTTATTTTGTAAAAGGAGATTTACTGAGTTATACTTGGATATACTGAAATATACTTTCTATGTACACAGCTCAATTAGCTTTGACCAGTGTATATTCTTGCATAACCATCATTACAGTGAAGATAGAGAATATTCCCATGAGCTCTTGAACTTCTCTCCTGGCCTTTCATAGTCCGTCTTCTTCCTCTAACACCAGCTCTTGGCAGTCACTGATTTGATTTCTGGTTTATAGGTTTTTGTTTGTTTGTTTCTAGATGTTTTATAAATGGGGTTTTTGTAACTGGCCTCTTTTACTTTGTATAATGCTTTTTACAATTTTTCTTATTTATTGGCAGTTGCTTTTATTTTATTTCTGGGTTTTATTTCATTTTGCAAATGTACCACAATTTGTTTACTCACTCACTATTGAGGGAAATTTGGGTTATTTTCAGGGTTTTTTTTTTCTTGCTGTTATGAATTAAACTGCTTTAAATATCCATATTCAGGTCTTTGTGTGCACACGTTTCCATCTCTGTTATATAAGTGCCTCAAGTAGGTTTGTTAGAGCACAAGATATGTGCTTAAGTTTATGAGGAACTGCTAAAATTTTTAAAAGCAGATGTACAATTTTGTATTCATACCACTGATTTTGAGTATTCTAGTTTTTCTACATTCTTGTCAGCACTTGTTATACTCAAGGTTTTTGCTGTTAGCCATTTTAATAGTGCTGTGGTGATATCTCATTGATTTGAAATTGCAATTCTGTAATGCCTAATGATGTTGAGAATCTTTTATAGGCTTGTTATATGTGTATTCTCGTGCTCAAATATATTGTTCACTTCATAAATTGGATTCTTTGGTTCACTGTTGAATTGTAAAAGTTCTTCATATATTGTCAACACAAGTCCTTTATCAAATAGGTGTTTGTAAACATTTGTTTTTTACTAGTCCATGACTTTTCATTTTATTTTCTTGGTGTTAGAAAATAGATATTTTATATTTGGTGAGGTACAATACATCAAATTTTCTGTTATGGCTTAAGACTATATTGCCTAACTCAAGGCCAGAATGATTTTCTTATGTATTCTAGAAGTTTTATGGCTTTAGCTCCTATATGTAGGCCTATCATGATCACTTTTTTATTAATGTGTAACTATTACCTCAAGATTTCATTGTTTTTAAAATAAATCAAACATCGAAGCTTAGAACCGGACCATTCTACCCTTTTTCTTCTTAACCCCTCTCCATTCAAAATGCTCGCACCTCTCAGTAGCTAGCATTCTCTTAGATCTGCAGTTGGACTCAACACACTCAGGGTTCAGCATAATCTTCTCTGTAGCTTTGGCCTTTGTCTGGAAAATCTGCTTAGTCTGTTCACCATACCCACTCTGCTTCCTGTCATAGTGCCATTTTCCCTGGGCATAAAGAACCCTTGCTTTTCTCATAGTGTCACTTTCCATACTTCCTACAGGAAGTTCTCTGGGCTCTGGAACCTTTACCATGTTTGCAGGAGCTCTATCAGCACAGAAAAATGACACTCCCTTTCCACTTCAGTACTGGACCTCAGACTGTGAGGCTGGTTCATTTGCACTGGTACCAGTCCCTGAGGAGGACTGTGAACATCTCAACAATCCCTTGCACCAGTATCAGTCCATTTGCACAAGCTCTGTGAGGTGGAACTCACACAGGTTAAACAAAGCAACTTCATTAAGCATAGGTAGCTAGCAAAGGACAAAGAAGAACTTAGTATTCAGTCTTCCAGTGTTCAGGGAAGCCTTCCACAATGGAAACTTCACAATTCTTCTGGGCCCACTTCTCATCACAGTTGAGTGACTCTGCAAGCACACTCTGTCTTGGATTCTATATCCAGGGACAGTGAGGCATTTGGAGATAAAGAGCCACAGAAAATTCTCCTCTGGGAATGAATGGGAGTAGAGCTTGGTCTGTTCTTTCTGACAGGTTCCTCTTTATGTCAGGATGTAGCACACCTAGCCTCTTCTACAGTTATCTTAGCAGTACAGGCCATCAGGTAAGAGCTGGGACACCAAGGTCATCTGTGTCCCACACATCTCATTTCCTGTCCCTACTAAATTTTACCTCACTCTTTTTAGTGACTGTGTATTATATTGTACTACGGATACATCCTAACTTTATTTAGCTGTTCTCAAATGAATGTATTTTAAAGATGGTTCCTATTTCCAGTATTGTAGATGATCTGTGATGAGCATCTGTGGTGGCCCAGTCATCATAACATGAACATGCCTGAGTTGGGGAGTTAGGATTGAGAAAGGAAAGAACACTCAAGCCTGAGTGGAGACCAAGATAAATCTGATTTATTTCATAGAAACAGCTCCTTTTAAAGGTATATACCAACAGGAAGCTTTTAAGGGCACACAACAACAGGAAGCACCAAGCAATTGTTTTTATCCTATGCAAAGACCGGATTTCCTGACTCTTACAGATAACATCAGATCTTCAGCTAATGAGTTCCTGTTATGGCAGGGTCAAAGAACAAACAAGCTTAACAAACAGTGTCCTTGAAAAGAAACAAATGTTAACACACGTATCAATGCCTTAATTGTAGAAGAAGAAGTTTCCTTTCAAATGTCAAATGCCAGAGGGCTATGGTCCAGCGACAAGCATCCATGTTTGGAAATATTTGTGTACTTGTCTGAATAGCTTGAAGGAGATATTTGTAGAAGTAAGATTGTTAATTCATAGGACTTTCAATTTTAATACTTCAGTAAGTATTGCCAAATTGATTCCACAAAAGATGATATAATTTTTACTGCTAATAACTAATGAAAGTGCCCTGCATCCTAAATCTTAGCCATGACTAGACATTTTCAATCTTTAAATATTTGCTAATTTTATTAGTGAAAATGATATTGTGTGTATAGTTTGTATCTCTCTGATCTTTGGATAAATTGCTTAGCTATCTTTTAAAATTTTTATTTAGCTATCTTTTTTACCTTTTATCCTTTTGTAATGTGCAATTTATGATTCTCAACCATACAATGTAGTGGCATTAAGTACTTTCTTGTGGCTGTACAACCATCACCATTATCATCTCTGGAGCCTTTTCATCTTTCCAAGTGGGAACCTATGCAGGCATTAAACACTAATTCTCCATTCTCCTCTCCCCAGAACTGCTGGTTGCTTCCTGTCTGTCTACGAGTTTGCTCATTCTTGATACCTCATGTAAATGGAATCATATAATATTTGTGTTTTTATTATTTCACTCATTGTGTTTTCAAGATTTATCCATGTTGTAGCACATATGAGAATTGCATTCTTTTTTATTTTGCAGTAACAGAGACTGAACTCAGGGCCTTTGCAATGAGCTACAACCCCAGCCCTTTTCATTTTAAATTTTGTTATAGGATCTCACCAAGTCATTAAATTGCCCAGGTTGGGCTCGAACTTATGATTATCCTTCCTCAGCCTTCCGCAGTGCTGGGGATTACAGATATGCACCACTGTGCCTGGATTCTTTTTTTTTTAAAGGCCAAATAAGATCATATCATATGTAAATATCATTTTTTTTTTACACATTCACCATTGATTGACATTTGAATTGTTTCTTTTTTTTTGGCTATTATGATAATGCTGCTATAAATACTTATGTATAAATAACTATTTAAGTTCTCTTTTTTATTTCTTTTGAGGATATACCTATAAGTGACATTGCTGGAACATGTAGTATTTTTATCCTTAACATTTTGAAGGGCTGATATAGTATTTGCTAAAGTGATAATACTATTTGCATTTCCTGCCAAAGTGCACATGTGGTCCAGTTTGGCTATCTTTTACATTCATCATTGAGATCTTGTACCTTTACATGATAGATCTTGGTTCTCATTTCCCCCCCGATCCCTGCCCTCCCTTCACCCCCCCTTCCCTATTTACAAAAACTATTTTCCATTTTTTTTCATTTTCTCAGATTTTTTTCTTTTCCCTTATTTCCCCTCCCCTCTCCTTCCCACTTCCCCCCACACTTTTAGCCCTTTTCTTCCTATTTCACATTGTCAATTATACCATTAGGATCTTATTTACAATTATAGCTTTTCACACCAGAGAAACTATTGCTTGAGCAGTAAAAGAAACAAATCACATATTTTTCTTCTCTGAATTATCTGTATGCTGTGTCCTTCTTTTCTATTAAGTTTTCTCCTTTTCCTCCTTGTTTTCCTCCTCTTTCCTTTCTTCTTATTAAATATTTTTTTGTGCCAGAAATTATTTGTATTTTATGGGAATTAGCTTTTAGGTTTTGGTGGCTGCAAATTCTTCTGCTCTGACTTTGGTCTTTTAATTTTATTTAATGAATTTTTCATCTTTAGGAGGAGTAAAATCACCTCACTGGCAGAGTGCTTAGGCTTCAATTACCACATGTTATAAGAAAAGCAGTACAATTTTCTCTATAACATTTATTAATACATATTCATTTTATAAATTGATGGAATTCACTGTAGCATTTTTCATACATGCATCTATTGTACATTATGTCTATTCACCCCTCTGCTCCTGTGTGTATCTTTTTAGTGTAGACACATATATTGTAGAATTGCTTTCATCTGACCTTGATTTCTTGCTCAGAAAGGTGCTCCCCAACTCAAAACTAGAAGGATATTCCCCTGTGCAGTTCTACTATTTTGTAGTTCAGCCTGCTTCCATGGAGTCAGATAAGGAACATCCTGTGGATTCTGTTTCTGGGTTAGATAACCAGTGGTCTCAGATTCTCTATGTGGTCCCTCTCTTTTCCACTGTGCTAAAATACAACCTTTACTATATGCTAAAGTTTTATATACAATTCAGCCAATTTCAGAATGTTGTCTTCCATTTCATGAATCTCTCTTTATGGAAAGCAACACTCTTGACAGTTGACTATTCCTAGAAAAAGTAGAAAATTTCTGGAAGAAGAAGACCTGGTGATCACTGTAGAAGATCCGGTCTTAATGTCTCTTCCTTCACAAGATCTCTGATTTTGTTTTGTCTGACTTCCTGTCTTTCTGTTGATGGAATGAACAACAAATAAAGACACCTTTTCTCCATATCCCCTACTCACCAATTTTTCGATACTCTCACTGAGTTGTATTTGTAGCATTGCTGCATTAAATCCCCTCTTTGGTAGAATGTTCATGCTTCACTTACTATGTCTTATAAGAAAAGCAGAATGTCTCTGTGCTGTATTCCAGAGTTAGTCCTATTCCTCAATCACAAAGCTTGAAAAGGAGCCAGCATTAAAGTGTTTATTGACCAAGGCTAAATGCAAATAAAACTCTTTGTTCTTGTTACTGTATGACATTTGTTACCTAGGATTCCCTAGAATTGCAGATATCCAGAAATTATACATGTAAGCATTTCAGCTTTATCTTTTCATTTGCAAAAACATATTAGAGAAGGGCCCTGAGGCAGAAGGACTCTCTTAAACTTTTAAAATAGATATGAATAAGTTAGGTTATATACGACTTCCTAAAAGCATCATGAAGTAAATCAAACAGGTAAAGAAAACAATATTTAACATAGCCATTTTTATGAGCTGTGATCCTCCTATCCATGTTACAAAGCATCACTGTGACTTCAGTGAATACTCTCATGCATTTATTCAGTATGAAATAGTTCCCTAGGCTTGTAACTATTTCCTCATCAGAAACAATTGAACTTTGATTCTGTGATATTTCCTGTGGAGCAATGGGTAAGAGCAGAAACTTTACAGTTTATTTTATGGATAACTTCTGATGTTTCTAAGTGTTTAAAATACATTATATTTTCTGGGGTTTGGATGTTATAGACTAAAATTAACTAGTGCACTGCAAAATAACTTCTGATAAAAGCACAGCTGCAGTTTTCTTACAATTCTGCATTACTGGTAACATGCTCCCACTATAGGAATGAGGTCTTTGGTGACATGATAACTTTATTCTTGCATTTACATTGGGTTAGAAGCCGCTTTAAGTCTCATCATTGTGATTACCTGGAAATCTGAAATAAAATAAATTGTAAAATTAACTTTTATATTGGGCTAGAAAATAAAAACACTTTGAAATGCAGCTTAAAGATTAAAAGTACTTAAATTGTGCTTCATTCACAAGTGCATCTGTGATTTTTTTTTTTTAAAGTAGTGTTTCAGTGTTAGCTTATCAAATACCAGGTAAAACTACTCGTCTTCTTGTTGAAAAATCGTTATATTTAGTTCTTACGCAATGTGGGTACTAAATAGAAAGTTTTTAAATTGATTTATTTGTACCCGTTGGGGGCTTCCAAATGTTCTGAGCTTTGAGACACATTTTCTTCTGTGGATCTTCTAGACACTCCTAAAGAAAAAGATATATAAATTTAATCAGTTATCATGAATGCAGTTTGTGGTTTTCTTGAGCTTGAACCTGTGAGTGCCTTTTCAGTGATATAAATCCTTACCACACACATCACAATAAAGGTGTATATATCATTCGGGAAAACTATATTATTTGAAGATAACCAAATAATATCTCTCACCCCATCTATTCTTCTACCGAGCAGCCTTATTAATCCATCATGAAAAGCAGAATATTATTCCTCTTCTCTTGAAATTGGGCTATGCATAGGGCTTTTGTAATCAACAGAAAATGCAGAAAGTGACTTGTACTGTGACTTCCAGCTTCTTCCGGGTTGCCTTAGGGTGTTTGTTTTGGAGGAAGCAAGTCACCATCTAAGAGGTCTGACCACCTGAGATTGCCATGCTGGATAGCCATGTGCAGGTACTCTAGTACAGAGTCCCAGCTGAGCCCAGTCTTGTAGCCACCCCACCAGGCCCCAGTTTGTGAGCAGACCTGTGTGTGAACCTTCAAGTCGGCCCAACGCTGTTGGTACTACTTGGTCACCTCAACTGATGTCCAGCCAAGCCCTGCCTGAATTTCTAAACCACAGAATTCTTGTGATATAAAGAAACAAATGGAAGGGCCACCTTGCGATGGGAGAGGGCAGCTTTTAGCAATAAGATGACATAATAAAACAATACTTAGAAGTAATAGTAATTTAGAACAATTTAAAGTACCAAAATGAAGTCAAATAGGGAAAAATGTATAAATATATTTATATATAATAGATGAAGAGATGTATAAAGAGACATGTTGATGTGTTACTTAACTTTCATATCTGCTCTTCTTACTTTTGAGTTGAATCCGGGGGGACAAATCCAGTAAGATACTGCAAGCCTGTTTATTACAGTCCCCAGTTTTTATATCCCCCTTTCATTTCCTATATTCAATTTGAAACATAGAAAATGGAATATTTGGACATTATCAGTAACATAACCATATCTTCATCCTAGTTTCTGAAGTCCCTTTTATTTTTTTGCTCAACCAGGCATTCAGCCTTCTCTGGAAATACTATCAGCCCAGAAATGCTTTTTGCTTTTGTTTTTCTCCATCTTCTCTCTACTGGATTTAGAGATGGTGGGCATCCCCTGGTTCCCATTGTTATTCAGGACATCTATCCTTCTTCTTTCTCTTCCTAGTGCTCATGTCATCAGACATAAATCAGCCATTTATGTTTATTGTGATCTATCTACAACTGGAGTCATTTGCAACTGAGTTTATCTTTGGCTTACAGTAATTTCACTACTTTTTAACTGTAGTAATTTCAAGTGTCTCAATTCCTGGAGCTCCTATTCTCCTAGGTCTTTTTTCTTCATCATGTCTCAGCCATTAACCTCCCTGGTCATAGTTAGACCTTGTCATTATTGGTAAATACAAGGCTTTCTCAATTTCAGCTTCCTGCATCAACTACTCAGCTGCTACCTTTGCTCTTTTCATATTACTCCCTCTGGTACTTAAACTCAATATGAAACATATCTCTATATAGAGGTCCTTCAAACCTCCACTTCTCCCACCTTGAATGTTCCTCCACATTTTGACATCTTCTCTCTCTTCTTCATATAATTTAAACTTCATGCTCACTCCTTAGGATACTCATTCACTTCTCACTTTGTCATAGCCATTTGACAAGCCTATAACCCCAACTAAGTCCCACTTTTTGCCTGTTCCTCTTCTGTACCATGTAGCTTGATGCAGCTGGAGAAAATGCACAACTGGGCAGAGACGCTTCACTTTAAATTCATGGGCCTCAACATTAGGTTCTCTCCATCTTACTAAACATTCTAGTTCATTCATTCTTGCATTCTCATAGATCATTGTTTTTCTTTTTCTTTTTTTCTTGAACTGATAAAAAACACTTTAATGTAAAATAACTTAGGTCATTTGCTTTGTTTAGTTTAAAATCAGCAGTCACAGGAGGCATCTAGTCTCCCTAAAAAGATTTGTAAATAAAAAAACCCATCGTTGACCCTGCTGACCAGACACGCCCCCTTTCCCTGGCCTAAAATAGATATCAGCAATATAAACTGGAAAAATAAAATATAAACACCTGAATATGATAAAGTCTATAAGACCCTGTAAAAGAGGGAATTGTAGCCCAGTACTGGGTCGATTAGGGCACTGCCATTAGGTGTGATAGATACCCATTGATGGAGTAAACTTTTGTTATTTTACTTCCATTCTGCTGCCTTTCTGTGTGTCACTTGCCAATCCCTTCCATAACTGAACTACCAGCTCTTCTCTTTGACTTCACTCTAAGATAATGATTTATTTCACAATTTTATAGAAGGGATAAACATAGGAAAAAAATTCTAAAAACTCTATGGCAAGAACTACACTTACAACTGCTTCTGTTCTGAATACTATGCTTCCAATGTGTCACTATGGATAAGCTTCCTACACTCCATATCTGAAGTAGTGTCTTGTACTACTACTTCACTTCCATTCACTTCCTGCCTTTCCCACAGCACACATAGCTCTAGGAATTCCTTCTGCCTCCCACTAAAGTGGAGCTTTTGATCACTATTAGATCATTTTCTCTAGCATATGAGTATTTAGATGAGGCCATTTTTCTCACTAGTGGATGTGGGCAGAACTAGATGTGGTATATGTGGTGTGCTGCCCATGACACTGGACACTCATTCCTCTTTGAATTTTCACTTTTTTTTCAATCTTGCACATGGAACAATTACCCTATCATTCAGATTCTACCATGCAAAAAATGACAGGAGCCTAAGGTTTTCTACTGGGTGTGACTTTGTTTCCCTCTCCCAATGACAATTGGAAATTTCTGGTGACTTTTTGTTGTTACAACTGGTGGAAAGAAGAGCTACTGACATCTAATGTGCAGAGGCCAGGAATTTTCTCAACATCCAAAAATGCACAACACAGGTCTACCTCACCCCATTCCAACCAAATGTTGATCAGCCCACTTCAGGAAAGCAAGGTTGAGAAACCCTGCCCTAGGGGTTGTAGAACAGTAAGATAGCAGGCCAGTGTTCCTGAATGTCTGTGGGGCTACTTCATACATGTAGAAGGCTAACTTTAGGATTAAGGAGGCATAAACCTCCATATTCTCAACCCACTGTATTTTTGGGGCTCTCTATAAAAAAGGCCTAACAAAGAGTCAACAACTGGAATCTCACCTTTTTACAAAGCTTCTGCACTGCAGAAGAAACCACCAACAGAGCTAAGAGGCAAGCTACAATGTGGGAAAATTTTTTTACCAGCTGTTCTTCAGACAAAGGTCTACTATCTAGAATATACAAAGAACTGAAAAAGATCAGGCTCCCAGATATAAAAACCCAATTCAAAAATGGGCATTTGAAATGTACAGACACTTCTGAGAGAAAGGAGTACTTCTGAATAAAAGCAGCAAATTAATATATGAAAAATGTACAACGTCACTGGTCATTTAAGAGATGCAGATGAAAATAAATGAGATTCTATCTCACCCCAGAATTAATGGCTGCTATCAAGAAATCATCCAATAACAAATGCTGGGATAGTTGTGGGGCAATAGAAACCTTTCTTCATTGTTGGTGGGAGTGCAGACTGGTGCAGCCACTGTGGAAATCAATATGGAGCTACCTTAAACAACTAGGACTGGAAGTCCCATTTGACCCAGGTATTTCCCTGCTGGGTATCTTCCCAAAAGAATTAAAATAATCATATCACAGTGATATATGCTCACTCATGTTTATAGCGGCACAGGTTGTAAAAGCTAAAACTTGGAAACAGCCCATTGCCAATCAGTTGGAGACTGGATAAAGAAGATGTTGGGTTTTTATAAAATGGAGTACTGCTCAGCCATAATGCATAAGAAACTAGAGACATTTATAGCTAAGTGGATGAACGTTGAGGACATACTCCTAAGTGAGATTAATAGAACACATGTGTAAATACCATATAGTTTCTCTGATGTGATAAACTAAAGGAATAAATAAGAGTTAAAATGTATAATTGATATTGTGTAATAGGAAGAAAAGGCCTAAAGGTGTTAGGCAAATGGGAGAGCTAGGGGATAGGTGAAAAGGGAAGAGAAAAAAATAAGAGAAAAGGAAAAAAAAATGGAAACAAGGTCTCCATAAATAGGGGAGAGTGGAGAAGGAAAGGGAGGCTAGGAGAATGGGGGAAAAATAAGAACCAAGGTAAGTCATGTAAAGGTACAAGATCCCAAATGATGACTGTAACTGTACTCTATATCTAACATGTACCAATAAAAATATATTAAAAATAAAAAGGCTTAGTCTTTCACTTAATATGTTTTAGCATTCTCTCAAATAAAGAACTACCTTCAGCTTTTCAGCTTAATATTTTTCCTTGCATCATAGTATACCCTAATACCCATTTTATACTTTCCAATGCCTTGAATTCAGCATTCCCTTTGGCTTGGAAGAATGTAACAGGATGTAGAAAAATTTCCATGATTTTCTAAGTTTGAAATTGTGATTGGTTGGTCTCAAACAATACATTAGCTTTCATTCCCAAGATGTGGAGGAAAAGTGATTTTTACTGTGGAGTATTTTCTGAAGTAGACTGAGCAGAATATATATATAT